GAACAGGGGGACGTTAGATGCCCTGACGCTCCTCTATATAAATGTGTTAAATGAGTGAAGGAAAATATGAGCACCAAGCAACAAGGTTCTCCCCTGAGAACCAGACCAAAGATTTTATGTGCAACCTTGACTATATAAACACATATTTTTTGAAGCATGAAAATGAGCCTACATTTAAAGTTTAAATTTGTTACTCGTGACCAAAACTAAAATAATGTCCGCCTGTYTTCTATAAAACATCTACTTCCTGCTCCAGGGTGTGAGGACACTTGTTGCTGCTGTCTTAAAGGAAAAAGGACAAAATGGACAAATCACACAGGCTTCCACTCAGGTGCGTGTCTTCAAATAACCTGTTGGTTTTACATAAATGTAAATATCTTGGTCTCATGTTTTTATAATTACTGCTACTGTAACTTTAGATATTTTACTCAATAATATGACTTGAGTGGGGAAAGATTTTTGACTCTTTGATGTTWCCATGTGTGACCTGACTCGCCTGGATGTGTTGTATGTCAGGGCCCAGCACTGGAGGCTTTGTGGCAGCAGTGCTGCAGCGACTGCGCACCCGTACGTTCGGCCTGCTGCGACGCTGTGGTGCTGTTGGTGGATCAGGGCCACGCAGACCTGCAGTACATCCTCAACACGGCCCTCAACCTGCTGCCTTCTGCCAGGTTCATGACACACACTCATTAGATAGGCTTCACTGTCCAAGACTCTGACTCCRAAAGATCTGAGGAGAAATCCATCAGGAGATTCTTTATTGTTTTTTTCTACTAACAGATTTCTTCTCAGTTTTTTACCTCTTGTTTTTAGTTGGAAAAATAAACTACACTGTTAACAACCGACTTGATCTTAATCTCCGTCAGTCCTACATATAAGCTCTGAGTTTATTACCCTGTAGCCTGGAAATGTCAAACTGCATAGCTGGACACCTCAGGGGCCATAGATGATCGCTGTCGATTTCAAGGTCAAAGGTCAAGGTCACAGCTGACCCCTTTGTTAAAACTTGTCTCAGCTTGACATCTGAGTAAGATAGAAATGTCAAAACCTGTGTCCCCTTGATTGTACCTTTCAKTCTGTCTATAAGACAGTACACAGTAGGTCCACATCTGTGGGTGCAGGTAAGGACCATCAGAACCAAATTATCACAGTTCTGAGTATATGTCTTCTGTTGACTGACAGTGTACTCCAGGAAGTCAGACTAGCTGTTTGATTGATGGCCCACTGCTCATAAATGCTGTGTCTCATTTCATGGGTTGCAGACGACATCAGCCACTTACGTCACTGCCCTGCATCATAGGCTGTCCCAATATATATGAAAATAAATTTTGACGTGTTTGTTTACCTTTTAATGTGTTCATAACCAGATAGAAAATACACCAGTACTTGAAGGTTTGAATGTGAAAAGAAGTCATCCAACTGCATCAGCGCTGGACTGAATTGCAGGTTTAACGCTTTGTCCCCATGCGTTCAGCAAAGCATTTCAGGAAGAAAATTCATTATATCATCTTCTTCAGGACCTGACTCCGCCTATTTTCATTGCATCATTAAAATGGACCAATCTACGACTGAAACCAGGTCCTCATCCATATTTCCTTTCCTAATGTGAAAATCAATATTTTTATTATGCATTGTAGTGTGTCCAGGCATGCATCTAAACTAACAGCAGTGTTTCCCCTACCATTATACAGGCGGGGCGGCCCCCCCCC